TAGTAACCCCCACCCAATGGCCTCGTAGTCGGATGTAGTCGGTGGGGACTTATGTTTTGTCGTCGTAAGTCTGCGTGGGGTCGGAGGCGGCAGTATATCGTATCGCATGGTTCCATGAAGTATGTTTCCGAAGAAATTCCCAATCGGAGTAGGCGTGTGGCCTACAGGAGTGTAATAGCGCAAAAATGTAGGATGTGAGTAAGAGACCTCCGCTTGAACGGAGGTACCGCTGCAAGTTTCCTTGCGGTAAAGCGTATTTGTATACACTCCTCCGCGCAACCCCACTGCACCTTGATGTTCCAACATATCCGTAGTCCACAAGATAGCGCCGTGGATGGTGAAGAATAGAGCAAGAGCTGACCACCATAGGCCGGCTCCGCTACCAAGTTTGAAGGGGGCTGGAAGGCCCAGCCAACAACTTCGCCTCAGGCGAAGCCAAGCTCCAGCTCTGTTGTATCGTAGTAGCGATAATCCCAATAGGAGAGGCGATGCCATCTCAAGCAACAAGAAGATCCTTTTGGTCTCGATAGCGATTGCGTGCCTCGCGGTGAGGCACAGTCAAATCTGGGCGGCCGGCCGCTTGAGCCAACGCGGCCGCGGGCGCGCGCTCGTTTCCACTCCTCACGTCCCTCAGCTCGCTTCGAAGTCCAACACCCTCCGACATGGATTGGAGCATTGACCACGCTGTAGAAGGCATCCACAGCAAGCCAAGTTGGCAGCGTAGACATGTAGCACATTCCAAAAAACGAAGCCCGCAGAGCCCCCTTATGTTTGTGTGTCTCTTTTCTCTCGAGCCCCATCACCATTTTACTGCCTCCGTAGGGAGCTGGCTGCGTCAAAAGGGGCCGCCCGTGGGGTGAGTGCCTCAACCTCTGGGCCGCTCTACGTTCTTTAGGATTGGATGCCACCGCGCCAGCCGGAGGGCCCGCGAGGCCACGAGGACGACACCAGGAGTCTCCGAGGAGAACATCAAAAAACCCAAGACGGCCCAAGAGGGCCCCAGGACGTCCTCCAGATGGCCTCAAGACGGCCCGGGGGACCCCCAAGACGCCTCACAAAACCCAAAGAGCACCCCGGTGAGGGCTCCAAGAAGCCCACGCCACGGTTTTCCCAAATGTGTCGACATGCGTTCGCACTCTCGAGGTCGCGGGCCTCGGGATGCCCAGGACGGCGGAGGATGCCTTCAAGATGGTCCCGAGGAGGCCCCAGAGGCACCCAAGAAAACTCCAAGAGGGCCGCCAACATATGCGGGCGAGAGTACCGCAAGGCAGGTGGGGCGAAAATGAAGCAGCTCCCCCGATGGGGTCACGTAGCGCGTGAGAGGTGTGCCGTAATCGTTGCCGAGCCGTCATGCGAATCCTGCCGCTGGGGCCTTCGTTGGAGCCCCCTTGTCGGGCCCCCTTGTCGGGCCACGAAAGAAGTGAGGGGTGTGCCGTGATGGGTTCGGGGCCGCCATGCGGACCCTGCCGACGGGGCCTTCGGTGGAGCTCCGTGTGGGGCCCGAAACATGTGAGGGGTGTGACGAATCGGGTAACGCGTGAACGTTTCGCCAGATCGGGTGCGGGGCCGCCATGCGGACCCACCCGCCGGGGCCTTCGGCGAGCTACTGATGGGGCCACGAAACGTTTGAGGGGTGCGCCGAAATTGGGGGCGGGGCCGCCATGCGGACCCTGCCGCTGGGGCCTCTGGCGGAGATCCTTACAGGGCCACGAAACGTCTGAACGATGCGCCCAATCGAGAGCGGGGCAACCGTGCGGACCCTGCCGCTGGGGCCTTCGATGGCGCTCCGTATGGGGCAACGAAGCGCGCGAGGTGCCAAAATCGTTGCGGGGCCGCCATGCGGATCCTGCCGCTGGGGCCTTCGGTGGAGCCACCTGTGGGGCCAAGAAACATATGAGGGTGTGCCGAATTGCGTGCGGGGCCGCCATGCGGACCCTGCCGCCAGGGCCTTTTGTGGATCCACCTGTGTAGGGCCACGAAACGTGTGAGGGGTGTGCCGAAATCGTTGCGGGGCCGCCATCCGGATCCTGCCGCTAGGGCCGTCGATGGAGCCACCTCTTGGGCCACGAAACGTGCGAAGGTCGCGCAGGATCGGGTTCGGGGCCGCCATGCGGACCTTGCCGCCGGGGCCTTCGGCGAGCTACTGATACGGCCACGAAGCGTGCGAGGGGTGCGCCGAAATTGGGGGCGGGGCCGCCATGCGGACCCTGCCGCTGGGGCCTTCGGTGGAGCCACCTGTGGTTCCACGAAACGTGTGAGGTGTGCGCCGAATCGGATCTGGGCCGCCATGCGGACTCTGCCGCTGCGGCCTGCGGTGGAGTTCCCTGTGGGGCCACGAAACGCGTGAGGGGTGTGCCGAAGCGGACATGCGGAGGGAAGAGGCGGTACGAGAGGAGGGGGAAGGAAGGGAAGAGAGGGAGGAGTGAGGTGAGGTGAGGTGAAGAGAAGTGAGACACGAGGCGCTGCCGATTCAAACCGAATACCCAACAACAGGATTATTTTGAGATACCAGACGGCCAAGACGGGCCCAAGTCGGCCCCAAAGGCACCCAATACGGCCAAAGAGAGCAAGAATGTCCCAACGGCTCCAGGGGCCCCTAAGAACCCCCCCAGCAGCCCCCAGGACTAGGAGGAGTCGGCTTGCGGGGGGGGTCGGGCGCGCGGGAGGCGGGCGGAGGCGTCGCCGGCGCCCCGCGCCCCTGGGGGGTTCCATGTTGGATTTCCCCGGCTGCGCCAAGCGCGCACGCGCTACTTGCCCGCGCGCTCACATTCGCGCAAGCGCATCCTAAGAAACTATGATTTGGATCGGAACCGGGCGACAACGGGCATGGGGCGCCTGTCAAGACTGCTTTTGGGAGCGATTGCTGCTGGCTCGACACGCGCGATATGCATGTAACGACTTTTGGAGGACGGGCGCTGCGCCGTCCAATCCAACGCGGCAATGGCGCGGTCCGGGGCGCGCGGCCGTCGCGGCACACGGCGGTCGACGTGGCCGCATGGGGCGCGCGATCGGCCGCGCGGCATTTGCGGGCCATTCGGCCGACGCTGCCGGGTCGCCCTCAAACAGCCCGCCAGGAATGCGCAAATGCGCAGTGCGCCAGCGCGCCGCCAGGATATCGCCCTGAAAACCACCTGTTCACTCTGAACGCCGACTGCGCGCCTCGCTGAACCAGCGAAGTCGCGCGGCGCGCCCGCGCCGCGGACCCGCCGCAATGAACTCGCAGGAAAAAGGCCTCTCTCCATGGGTTCTGGCACCGATTCTGGCCTACTTCCCCGTTCTGGCCGATTCTGGTTCTATCGCCGATTCCTCCTTTGATTCCGTACTGATTCCGTGCTGATTCTTTGGATTCCGCTAAAATCAGGGGTCGCAGTTGTGCCGACTCTGTTTTGATTCTGTACCGATTCCGTGCTGATTCCTTTGATTCCCCTGTGCCCCGGGGACCATCAGGCCGCGGCCCGAGCCCCCGCCTCGGCGGCATGGTTTTTCCAGGAGCGCGGAAGAGTTTTGAGGGGGAGGGGGGCGGGGGGGGAGGCGGAGCGATTCTTGGGGCGCATCGGGCGGCCGAGCCGCAGATTTCCGGGCCCAGTGCGCACGCCCAACATGGCAGGCGCGGGCGCGCGCGCGAGTTCTCGACCGTCGGCGCATCTGTAAGTTCATGCCCCGCCCCGCGCGCGGGAATGGAAACTTGCGTTGCGGTTTCCAATTTAACGCGCGGCCGTCGCAACTGCATCGCATTGCTCAGCGCGCAAAGCGCGCAGCATAGGGGGCTTTGCGTTCTCGCATGAGAAGTGCGCGGAACCGAACCGAACGGTCGGCGGCGCCCGCTCCTGCGCCGCGCGCGAGGCCATCGCGTCAGCGCGGGAGGCTACAGTGGCCTGGGCCGTCGCCCTGGGCGCGGGCACAGCGCGAGGCCCGCGCGGGTCTCTCGCGCCGAACATGCGCAACAAGGTCGGCCCGCCCGCCGGCTGGCGCTCGCGGGCGACGCGACGCCGGCGCCGACTGCGAGGCCGACTGGGCCCGGAGGATTCCTGAGAATCCCGGGAAGGGGCAGCGGGCCGCGATGGAATCGGCGCGATCGTTGGCGCCCCCCCGCACCCGCCCCCCCCTGCAAGCCGACTCCTCCTACCCAGGAAAGCGTCAAGACGAAGAGGATGATGATGAGCAAGACGAGGAAGAGGAACAAGAGATACAAAACAGATGCAAAACAAGAGGGAACTCATACGGAAGCGGACACGGGAGGAACGAAGAACAATCGAGGCGGAGAAAGAGGGAGAGAGAGACAAACAAAAACGAGAGGGAGAATGGCAAGGGGGAGGGGGAGGAGGGGCCGGCGGGCGCAGCGCCCAGAATCTACCAGCTCTGGGCGAGCCATCCGCCAGCGAGGGGGATGCAGGGGGCCTGGGGGGCCCAAGGGCAGAGGGCGGAGCCCTTCGTAGAACAAAGGGACGGACGAGGAGGCGGACAAGGTTTATGCGGGAGAAGGGGAGGAGGAGCAGGTGAGGACGGGGAGGGAAGGGGCGCCGCGCAACTGGGAGGCGCCTGCCCCGATCCAGCAGCACTGCGTCGCGCGGACGAGAGTGGCCATGTCTGCGATTCTTGCCCGCGGGGATTGCCGGAGAAACCTGACGTCCCCGCCAAAATGGGCCCAGACCGAACGAATGGTAGGAGGCAACTACTGGGAGGTCTTCGTCGGAAGGATTCAAAAGGATCAAACCCCATTGGGGGGCTGTTACGCCTGAGTGGGCCTCGGATTAAGCGGGATTCAGCCGGATCAAAAAGAATGAAGTGGGATTAAGCCGGATTAAGCGGGACTGAGCCAAATTAAGCCCGATTTCGGACCAGGGCAAAATCAGAATTGTACCTCCCAAATGTCGCATCAGAACGAGTGGACCCTAGAAAAGAAGAAACGCACAACAGACGGAATCTATGCGCAGAGCGACGCCCAGGCTTGCCTCAGGGGCCCTCCCTCTGGCGGCACGCGGGACGGAGGCAACTGGCGCCTTGCGCACCCGCTCCAGCTGCTCGCTGAGGGAGGAAGGGCCCAGCGTCACCAGGCGCATCTTGGAGGGGCAGTAGTGGCTCTTGAAGAACCTGGCGGGCGCCAGACCCAGGAGTTGGGTCGGGCATGCCCTCCTACAGGCGGATTTTGGACGGAGAATTAAAAATACCCCAAAATATTCCCAAATGATAATATTCGGACTGTTGTGGGACATTCCTCCCGTAGAGGGACAGGCCCGACTTCACCCAGGAGGCACAACGGGGCGCCCGCCCACTGCAGGCCTCCGCCCCCTCCCCGCTGGCCGCCCCTCCTCTCCCTCCTCGGTCGACCCTCCCTCCTCTCGCGGCCCTCCTCCCCGTCCCTGCACGGCGGTGGGTCCAGGATGGAGCAGGGGCCGACCGTCCCAGCATTCCTGTAGGCCTACCACGACATGTTCCTAGAACCACAACAATGTTCTGAGAACAAAAGAAAGAACAACAGAAGGGAGGAGGGAGGAGGCAGGAGGGAGAGGGACGAAAGGGCAGAATGGGGAGGAAGGACAGGGGGAGGAAGGAGCTGGGACGGCATCGCACTGACCAGCCGTCAGCCGTCAGATGTTGAATAAATGGAACTCGCTCCACCAGGCAAGGTCGACACAAATTCGCAACATGATTGCAACAGGCCAAAGGCCGTCGACATGAGCAGTGCCGAGAACAGTTCCAAGGAAGCCCGCAACGAGCTGCGGGAGCCCGAATCACTGAGTAAGATCAAACAGAACCTGGCGAAGGATCAGCCGACCTACTTGATATACTAAAGTAGGCATGCGAACCGTATGCACATAGCTACATTGGTAGATGGACTCATGGTCCCGAAACCTGCGCATCAATGACCAGACCCGACCGCATCTGTCCTGTCTCCTGTCAGCTGATTGCTCCCGTGGCCTCTTCAGCTCGTCCACCACATTGGTGCCCTCTTTGCGCGGGATGTCGTACAGAGTCTGTAGAGAGGCAACTGAGGAAGATGGCAAGAAAACAGGAAGAATAAAGAGAGAGAGAGATAGAGAGAGGCCACGCATAGGAAAGGCGGCCCGGCCAAGGGGGAGGGGAGGCGAGCAAAGGGGGAGCAAAGGGGAGGGAAGGGCCAGGAAAGAAGAATGTAAACGCGCTGTTGTCTATATGTATATACCTATACGACCACCCTTCGGGTGATAAGGAGGTTCGGGGGGGGGAGGATGCAGCGTCTCACTCGATCGGTCTCACTATCCATCTCACTATCGGTCTCGCTCGATCGATCTCACTCGATCGATCTCACAATCGATTTCACTCGATATATCTCATACGCTCGGTCTCACAATTGATCGCATTATCGATCTCACAATCGATCTCACATTCGGTCTCACTATCGATCTCACTACCTATATCACAATCGATCTAACATTCAACGTCCTCATCATCATCATCACCAACACCATCATTTCCATCGTCATCGGGACACTGTCGTCATCATCATCATCATCATCATCGTCATCATCATCAACGCCATCATCATCAGGCCATCATCATCATCCCCATCATCATCTCATCATAGTCAGCAACATCATCATCATCATCATCGGCACACAGTCTTCGTCATCATCACCATCAGCATCATCATCATCGGGACACCATCATGGTCACCATCATTGTCATCGTCAACATCATCAACAACATCGGGACACCATCATCATCATCATTTAATCAGTTTCATCGTCATCATCATAATCAACATCATCATCAACATCATCGGGACACCATCATCATCCGCATCATCGTCACCAACATCATCATCAATATCATCATCGGTACACCATCACCATCACCATCATCATCACCACCGTCATAATCATCATCGTCGGGATACCAGAATCATCATCAGCAGCATCATCATTACCAACATCATCATCAACAACAACGGGCAGAAACATCAACATCGTCATCTCATCATCATCAACACCATCATCAACATCACCAGCGGGACACAGCCATCGTCATCATCACCATCAGCATCAGCATCATCATCATCATCGAAACACCATCATGGTCACCATCGTTGTCATCGTCAACATCATCAACAACATCGGGACACCATCATCATCATCAGCTCATTATCATCATCATCATCATCATCATCATCATCAACAGCATCATCAACATCATCGGGACACCACCATCATCAGCAGCATCATCATCACCAACATCATCTTCAATATCATCATCGGGACACCATCACCATCACCATCATCATCACCACCGTCATAATCATCATCATCGGGATACCATAATCATCATCAGCAGCATCAGCATTACCAACATTATCATCAACAACAACGGGTAGAACATCAACATCATCGTCATCTCATCATCATCATCGACGTCATCATCATCATCATCACCAGGACACCATCATCGCCATCATCATCACCATCAACACAACCATCATGATCATCATCAACATTATCATTATCGGGACACCGACGGGGCACCGACGGGACACCGGCGGGACACCGCGGGCCCCCGGCCGCCCGGAAGGGAGTCATTTGGTCCGGCCGCGCCTCAGCTACACGGGACACCAGCGGGACACCGGCGGGACACCGCGGGCCCCCGGCCGCCCGGAAGGGAGACATTTGGTCCGGCCGCGCCTCAGCCACAGGAGACTTTCTCTCGCCCGCCCACGCAGCTTCGCCTCGCCCGCACGGCACGCACGAACACGAAACCGAAATCGATTTCGCGGTGGGGGGGCTCTCCGTTCCACTTCGATCTCACCCCCCCACCTCCGATATATGTATATATATATATATATATATTAAAACAACAAAGCCCCAAGAGAAAAACCCAATGCGCAGTTGTGAATACTCCCTACGGGGCCACGACCCGTGAGGGGTGCGCCAAACTGGACGGCACCGCCGTGCGAACCCCGCCACGGGTGCGCCAAGATGGAGCGGCACCGCCATGTGGACCCTGCTACTGGGGCATGGAGCTCCCTACGGGGCCACGAGAAGTGTGAACGGTGCCCAAAAATGGAGCGGCGCCGCCACGTGGATCCTGCCACTGGGGCATTGGGCTGATCTCGCAATGGAGCCACGAACCGTTTGAGAGGTACGCCATAATGGGTCGGCGACGCCATGTGGACCCTGCTGCTGGGGCCTGGCGAGGAGTTCCCTACGGGGCCACGAACCGTGTGAGGGGTGTGCCAAAATGGGGCGGCACCGCCATGTGGACCCTGCCGCTGCGGCCTTCGGTTGATCTCGCTATGGGGCCACAAACCGTGTGATGGGTGCGCCAAAATGGGGCGGCGCCACCATGTGGACCTTGCTACTGGGGTAGTTTTTTAGGTGTGGCCAAGCTCGCGCGGCGCGAGCTCAGGTTCAAACAGCTGCCGAGGGGCAGCTGTCGGCGGCAGGCGAAAGCCTCGGGAAGCCGAGCAGCAAAGGAACGAGCTGGCTAAAAGGGCCAGCCCGCTGCAGCCAAGCCAGACCCGTCAGCCTGCCTTCGCCATCGGGCACGCCCCCTTCGGCGGCAGCCCTTGTCTGATATTCGCGACCTTCTCGAGGCGGCGCTGCAGGCCTCGAGCGGTCTCGGGCAACTTGCACTCGGCAGACAATCCCCTATGCGTGCCGCCGATCACGCGGGCATAGCAGTGGCAGCGCGTGCACACGCGATACCCATTGACAGTGCAGAGCACGTGCTCCCCGCCGTCTACCCCTGGGACCCCTGTGCCAGAAGTCGCAGAGGCCGAGGCAGCGAGGGGCCCCGAGGGCGCAGGCTGACCAGCGGTGGCACGAGTCACTGGGTCGGCTTCGGTGCCAAGCGAGTCCGCCCGAGCTACCACCAGCTCCACCAGCGGGTCAGTCGGGCCGCTGCCGTGCCGCGCGCAGACCGCGGGCTCGGCAGACGGCGCGGGAGCAGCCTCAAAGACAGGCGAAGCGGCCCCCGATGGGCAAGCGACGACGCCAATAGAGGGTGCCCCGTCTGCTCGGTCGGCCTCACTCACGGTCCCGCTCACACAGGAGCCAGTCGCAGCAGCCAACAGGAAATCGACTTTGCCCTGAAACGCCAGGCGAGCCTTTGCCCTGGGCTCGCCGCTGCATGCGCTGGGGCTTCGGGCTCCCCCCACAGGGCTGCGGGTCCGAGAACGGCGCTCTCTTGGGGTCGGCGGTGCGTCCTGCTCGCCAGCCTCGCCGGCCGTCGGCGCTGCAAAGGCTGCGGCTGCTGTGGCCGCCGTCGCCAATGCCGCTCGAGCAGGCCTCTTCCTCGCAGAGCCTCCTGAGTGAAAGGGTGCGCACGGCTTAGCCGCGCACGGTTTGGCCCGGAAGTGGGCCTTGATGTTGGCGCTGTAGGCGGTCCTCAAGCAGCGCAGGCAGTGGATGCCTCCGTTGGGGACGTCGACGACCTCGTGGCCCGCGAGGTGGAGGGGGATCTCGCCTTCCCGCTTGGTCGCCGTCTCATCAGAAACATCTGCACGGGCATCAGCCGCCTGGCCTCCAGCAACCGCGACCCAGAAGAATGCCGCATCCAACAAGGTCTGCCTCGCACGAATCACCTGCCTGATCTCGTCGGTGGCCCCCATGCGGCTGGCGATGCACTTGGCGCTCCGATCAGCTTCCATGTTGCCTCGCCTCGCCCTGGCTGTGACCAGCCCTTCCTGCACGTGCTGCTCCGAGGCGCGGGCCTTGACCTTCACAACCCGCAGGCCGCCGTCGTCGAGCCCTCCGAAATCCTGAATCGCGTGCCATACACGGACCCAGATCTCGGCCCATGCTGACTTGCTGCTCGTAGTGACCTTGGGCCCGCGAGCGTTGATCCCGTCCACCACAAATGCTGCGTCAAAATGAGCCGCCACTGGTGGTATACTGAACTTGAGGAGCAGGAGGGGCGCCAGCAACTCGCCCCCGTCGATGGACTGCAGTGGACCCGCCAGCGGCGAGGCGAGGGCTCGCGTGGCTGACCCTGGCCCTGGGCCCACGCTGTCGCCACTTGGTGGAAGGGCCGCCACCGCACAACCAGCACAAGCGATCTGGGCCCCCCCGTCGACGAAGGCGCCGTCGGCATACAAGTCGGGCACAGCAAACGGCATGCCCTCCTCGTAGCCCTTGACCCACTGCGCATGTGCGAAGAGGTCGTCGCCAGGCGGTGCCCACCCTGCGCGTGGCTCGGGCAGCCACAGCCTCTCGAACAGCGTTCTGAACGTGGTGGAGTCGCACATGCCCTTGAAGCGCTCCAGCTCCATCGGCAGCGAGAGGTTGGGCCATGCATCCTGGCACTCCATGTGCCAATGCCACAGCGCGCCTAGCTTGTCAGGGCACAGCGAGCATACCGAGCACGAGCTGAGGCCTGCAGCGCAGCGCCCCTCATTTAGCCACTGACCGTCAACCAGGAACGATCTGGCGCACCCAGCCTCGCTAGGGGTTCAAGTCCTCCAGCTCCGCGCCACCTTGGTCGAACACCTCCCCGAATTGATCCACCGTCGGACTTGCGGCAAGAAGACTCCCCTAGCTTCGAAAATCCCGTGGCGCGTGGACTTTGCCAGCTGCGCCAGCTGCCAGTGCTCGACGGACTTGGTGACGATCTGCCTCGCCGTCCACGGCGGGTGCACTGCCAAATTGAGCTTTTCGCCGGCCTCGGAGACCCACTCAGTGAAGGCGGACAGCGTGAAGCCGATCCTCTGCAGCGACTTGGCCGCGGCTCCGATCGGCCCGCGCACGTCGGACCAATTCTTGGCCACCTTCACGTTCCACTCGAAGGTGGACCTGAGCATCGACGTCGGAATCCACTGCTCCCAGACTGCCCGAGCCAGCGCCATCACGGGCCCAAGCGCGGCGGCGAAAATAAGGTCCAGGGTCTTGGCCCCTGAGAGCATCAGCACTGCAGTGGCGCTCTTGCCTGCTGGTCGGACTTCCGCGGCTCTGACAGTGATGGACCTCATCTTGGACAGCTCGGTCTCGTTGAGGCCTGCGCAGTT